CAATTGTGACGCTGAAGAAGAGTGATGGATGTCACTCGAAACGTCCGGAAATAAATCCGTTAACTGATCCAGTAGTAGAGTTTGAATTTTCTTACGAGTATCGTTTACCTGGATGTCTAACCTTCATCAACGTAACTTAAAGAGTAGTAATGGTCAAATAATGTGTCCGTTCTAGGGCGAGCTTCACCGCCTCTGGCGGGACCACGTCGGCATTCGGCCGAGATACGCTGGGAGGGGGCACCAGCAACCAGGCCGTTGACCTCTGACAATAATGATACGCTACCTACCTGTTTTCATCAAACAACAATGAATGTAGTTTCGGAGAATCGTGATCGGGCATATTTTAAAAGGAATGTATGGCACGTGGACCAGATGTGAGAAATGTAAGTTACCCAAATCGCGGTTTGGGTGTCTTCACATAAACACGGCCTTAGACTGACACACCTGCACATGTCACATTTATTCCCCAGCCCTATCTGTCAAATAACTCATGGCGAAAAACATGACAAAATTATTCATGATTCTAAAAACACATTTCATTGATGAAAACAATTTTGTTTCTTACACAGAAGAAGTACAGGCTGTCCGTTGCATCAGAGCGTCGACTGTCGGCGCTCTTCCATGGCTGTCTCCAGGCCCCGGCTTTCATCAGTACGCTCGTCTTGCTAGGGGGCGTCAGCGTGGGGAGGGTCTACCTGTTCAAGACATATGTCATCGGTAAGATAAGTATTACTCCTCCCTCCCAAAAACTAAGATGTAGCTTTTTATCTCATTTATTTAGTACGTAACTTTATTTTCGCCGGAAAACGTGACAATTGAAAAAAGTCGTGATAACTTTTTTTTCTAATAGTTATCCCCTTTTTTCCATAAAAGAATTCCATTCAAACATTATATGGAGAAAAAATGAGATAACATGTCCTTATCTCATATACATTTTTGTTAAAAAAATGAAACTAGTATTCAAAAACTACTTATCATAACTTTTTTCGTTATCACGTTTTTCGAGTAGAATAAAAATACGTAAGGCCATGTTGATTTGAGTATATGGATGACATTCTCTGGGAACCCCAAAACTGATGCGCGCGTGCGAATAAAAAAAAGTTTTGCAAAAAAAAAAGTTGCTTTCACGATGAAATCTACGTGGTCATGAAGGTTGAACAAATGGCACAGAATATGTTATGGCGAATAATCTACTCTTCGAATTCATTTCTTTACATTTTTGTCTTTTTTCCTTTGATTTTGGCATTCTACGACATTGGTATCGTTTCTAAATGTTTTCCTTGCAACTTATGGTATATTTTTGCTCATTTAGCAACTGTTTTGCACGATTTACAGTATGGTTGAAAACTTTTTTTTTTTGGAAATGGCCGAAAATTCATGCGCGCGCGGATGTCATCCATATAATCAAATCAACATGGCCTAATAAATAAATAAATAAATGTGATCAATAATCAAGTCTAGAAATTGTATCTAACCATCGTTTGTCTCACTTGGCTTCTCTTGATCTTTCATCCATTATCCACCAAATTTAGATAATCTTTCGGGAGAGTAATTTTGCTGTTGACTGTATTGTACATCAATGAGGGAATAGCGTCCCAGTTTTCGACATTTAAACAGAAGAGAAAAATTCGTATTCCTTATGGAACTACGCAGACAATGAATCTCGATGTCCAACTACTCAAGAATCAAGAAGTTAAACCTGTAAATAAGTAAGATATCACTGATTTTCCGCGTTATCACCATGGCATGAGCTTAAACGTACAATAAAGGTCTTTATTTTACTTATCCATTCATACAAAGACAAACAATGATCAGGGCAGAGCATTTGGTAAAGTACAGCGATCCAATTGAAATATTCTAAGATAACCTTTAAAACCTACTTTTGATTATACGACCATATATTGATTAAATGGAATATAAAATACTGCTTGGCACACAAAATATTAGTGACTTAGTACACTTATTCTAACCAGAACAACATTTCCTTTTTATTTTCAAACTGCAGGTTTCCCTTTGATCACATTGATCACCATCTTCTTCATGTACTGTCGAGTGCAAAGCATCATGGAACTAGAGGGATGGGAAAATGGCGATTCTAAAAAGAACGCCGAGCAAGAAAAACGCAAGAATGAATAGAAGATTGTGAAAGCTGACTTTGAAATAAGCTCACATTCTTTGAAATCTACATGTTATATATTGTTTTGGAAAACAACATGAAACAGCGTTTATCGGAATGCCACAAAATAATATCAATTGTATTCTAATATGTCTAATGTTTAATGCGTTATTGACTTTTGAAATTGATGTGGAAATTACGAGTACAGGTTGTCTGCAAGTCTGTCCCAATGGACTATGGCACTGTCAGCATCTATGTTGTAAATTGTGTATTGTTTTTCAAAAGAAAAGACACGCCCTTGAATATAAAACAGCAATTTACAAATCTAGATCTATGATAAATTGACCTGCGAAAACTCATTATTGCAAGCCATTGTTTCTTCAGGAAAAGCTGAAATTTGGCCTGCATATCACAAAGATAACAAAGAAGATGAGAATAACATGCTTTACATAAAACGTTTGATGTCTTCTTCAGGTCAACATTTTGTTTCTCTTAGCTTTATGTTTCATGTTCCTGTATCATGTAGCCTTGTCCTAGGGTCTTTCTGTGTTAAAACATGTGTCATTATATTAACCAGGTTAAACTGTTTAAGCAACGAGGGTTTACAGTAAACTTTGAATTTACGTCTTATCTTGTTTCACTGTCTTGTCAATCAAAGACGCCAAAGCTTTGCGGCTGTTTACATCGGAACAATTTCTATTCAAAAACTCATAGAAATTCAAGATATTAGCAATGTTCACCCGTAATTTAAGTTGCAATGCATTTTACCCGCTGTACTTTTCATGTAATGAAGTTCCTCTTATTATAAAAAAGCTAATTAAGACAGTCACTGGACTGATGCCGTCGGTTTATGTTAATTCTCCTTAATATATTCTGGCCTAATGCAGGTCCCCTAAGGATAACAGACTAGAAACCGGTTCTGCTGGCATACATATTCAGATCAGCTGATCACCTGAAAAAATAGTGTCACAGTTTTCAAAATCTATACAGTTGCTTAATATGTAACAATTTCCTCGTGTACGGTCTATGTGGGAATAAGGGAGGAACTTCAAATGGGCTTTTAGGGTAACAGGAAAGCACGTTCTTATGTATGACGTCGTTGCACGTCGTATAAAACTTCTGTTCCAAAAAGAAGGATTTTACCAAACTGAGAGCAGGCTAGGGGATCATTAACATGGCCGCTGACGCTGTGACGGAGGAAATGGTGAGAAACATCATCAAACAAGAACAGTTCAGCATCAAAGCAAAACAAGATGAGCTCGAGGATCGCACGGAAGTGTTAGCACACCAACAGGAGCTACTGAAAAAGGAGAACAACTCGTTGAAGGGCGAAGTTAGTCAGATGATGCTTGTCCTACAACAAGAAGCCAGGCGGTGGGAGAATCTCATAGTTGTGGGGACAGGGAGAGGGTCGACTCGTTTGAAAAGAGCATACCGCACGACTAAGAAGAGGCACAACCCATTCAATGTTCCCATGGCATCCAACCTACACCCTGATCTACCAAACGAAACAGGTAAAAGTCTCATTTGTACTGTATGTAGGTAATAGTTTAGTTTTTAATTATTAGTTTTGGTGCGGCATACATATAATATGTATGCCTACGGCCATGTCTTGGGCACGTACAATAAAATTAGGTTACAAGAAAATACCCGTACTTTTTTGTGTTTACTGTTAGATTGTAGATTTTCTTTTGCTCAAAAGGGAACCTTTAAAGCGTTTAGATGCACAATTTCAATTATACACGTCACGTTGGAAGTTAGATTGTGTACACTGTCCGAATGCGCACCGTGGTAAATTTACATAAGGTTGTTGTTGTGCCTTATTTTGGTACTGGGTAGTTTAATAACATGTCAAATACTATCAGATGGTTAAGAAATCTATCATAGCTACTTCAACGCCTCCATTTTATATTTCTAGACGAGGAAAACCAAAACTCCGGGGATTCGGCTGTCACTACAGCTGAAGGCAGTGGAGACAATCTGTACTCATGGTGGGCCAGAAATGTCTGTGTGCCTCTCAAGACGAAGCTTGGAAAGGCGGTAGACTCCTTTTTTCAGTATTTCCACGTGCGGTGAGTACCAGAGAGCTTTAAAAGTGTTATGTTTTACTATAAGCCATGGGAAGGGGAGGAAGGTTCTGTATAAAACGCAAATTTAGGAGCAGGAGCAGGTCGCAGCAAATACGGCTGGTGTTCGGCCAGGTCGGCTACTATTCGGCTGCACCGGCCGAATGCTTTCGGGCAAATTGGACTCAAATTTCATTTTACATATACATGTTCCCGAACGTTTGACGAACGTGGTCGGCTGGTGTACATGTTCGGGGGAGGCCATGAATGCGTGACAGGGCCATGGACCACGATAGCTAGACGCACTCGAATTCGAAGAAAACACTTTAAACCTGGTGTTATTCCTTTTTCAGGTACCAAATGCGTCCTAAAAATCGCAAGCGCCGGAGGAACTTTGAGAGGACCAAACGGGCATCCTCTGAAAGAAATTCAACTGGTTAACGGGTCCACGTTAGTATAATAGCTCAGTTATGCATACGATGTGTTTTAACATATGACACAGAAGAAAATTGAGCTAAGGACTGAAGACTATATCACGACTGCAGACTTGGAACATATTGCGTTTCGATATCAAATCTTTGTGCATTAGACGTATAGCATGTTCAGAATAACATATTCAACATTTTCTAATTGTTATTTAATTGTAGCTAATATGTACTATGATATGTACTATTATGTACGCGAGAAAATACCATAATGTACTGATTACCGCAACTATCGTCGATTTTTTGTCTTGGAATCTCTTAGGCTTTGGAAAAATACTTGTGTCTGGTTTCTCAAAGACCCAAGCAAACATATGCCGACCCTAGCCTGGATTTGTTCGGCTGCTGGTAAAAAGAATAGGATTTGTGTCTGGGGGTTTCATGTGTTCGGCATATGCAAGATGCTAGATAATAATCAACATGATTTTATAGAAATTATAAATGCACAAGAAATGCATACAAATTCTGTTAAAATGGGATACTAGTAACGCATTTCCCTATCTTTCTTTCTTATTGTAGCCTAGGTCACTAAAGCTGTAGTATTAGCGTCCATTTGACACATTAAAACAATTTCTTCTGTATTTAATACGTGTTTGAGTATTACATCTTGTATTCATTTTAATTTATTTTCATTTTTCCTTCTTCTAAAAGATGAATTGCTTGAAAAGATGCATTAAAAAGTATCAAAAGACGCGTAAAGCACCGGGACAGACCTGTATCCTACATCTGCTTGGAGATTATATTTTCTGCACCATGACATTATTACAATACTATCATCAAACCAACAACGGGGGTGGAGAAAAATTGGCCCCGGAGGTTTAGCCACTGTGGACTTCTTTTCCTTCATAGTGGACTCAATCCCCTGGCTAACCCCCTTTCGAAAGGACCCGGTAAAGGCTACTATTACTTTAAAGCCATCCAATGCAATTTCGGGATGGCAAAACTGTCAATTTTCTAGTCATTCTTTTAATGTAGTAAGTTGAATCAATCCTGTCTTATGGCATACTGAAATCTGTGAGGCAAAAAATGCTAAGAAATGTCAATATCAGACAGATGTCCTCATTCAGAATATGTTTTGCTTTGTCACCCTGAAATTGCTAGCCTCCTTCGCAGTCTTGTTGGGCGTCGGCGATATTTTTTTCTATGAGCGACGTGAGTAATATGCCGCCGCGAGGGACGATTTGCTGCCGAGGGATTTTTTGCCGCGGAGAGAAGGATTCGCGCTTGGCTCGGCAGCAAATCGTCCCTCGCGGCGGCATATTACTCGCGTCGCTCATAGAAAAAAATAACGCCGACGCCCAACAAGACTGCGAAGGAGGCTATGAAATTGCATGGAATAGCTTTAAGGGCCAGGGCCGGGAGTGTTAATCTTGTACACCCTGGGGGCAACAAGATACACAACAAAACCTCATTCCTCAGGAGTGGGTGAACTGGTATTTCTGGTCACAGCAATGATAAAAACATCCCCGTGAATAGCCTAATGTGTAAGGCTGTTTTTTTTTTCATGAATCATGAGCAAGTTACTAGGGTCTCTCAACGAAAAACGGAGATTGAAACATGCCATAAGTCTAGAGCAACAGATCGCGAAAGAGAAGCAAGACTCCTTCTGGGACCTTACGGACATTCTAACACGAGAACAAGAGCTGAAGAATGAGGTTTTGAACAGTAAGCTGAAACGACAGACCTTCGCTCTCAAAGAAGAGTCCAGACGACTAGAACACCTGATGATTGTTGGACACAGACTTGAACAGGAGAAAGACGACGATCTTGACTCACAGACGACTACAAACAGCACAACAGTTACTCAGAACGGAAGACACAAGCTCACAGTGTCAAATCTATCAGGTGATCACACTATAATTATTCAAATTATGTTGACGGCCTTCTTCGCTGCTACAAACACGAATAATTTAGTCACGTTTTTGTACGTTTCAGTTGGAGTAATATATGAGTAAAAAGCGAAAAAAAAACTAACAGGTTGTGTTATAAAAGACTTGGTAAGGAAAACTTGAGAACAATAATTGAGACTGACTCCTTTTCATTTAATGACAGACAGCTGACAAAAAAATGCATCTTCAAATGTTTCCTCCAAGAAAAGACAAGATACCAGAGACAATATTTTAAACACAGCACTCTGATGAGACCTACAACTAATATTTTTTTGATATTCTCTAATGATTGTAATGATGTTTATACAGATAATTTTTAGTTTAATCGCTCAGAAAGTGTTGAAGAAGTACAATACAATGATCGATAATTCTGAATATGGTATTGAATATTGAGTTACAGATACTATCAGCAGTATTTCAATCCTCAACGGTTCTTTATATACTAGTTGGTACGGTTGAATAGTTGAATACACGTGTTGTTTATATGTATACTTGTTTCTTTTATTCGTTTATCAAATAGTCTACTGGCAGGACCAAGATGGGGAATCCGGCGGGATTTCACCCGGTCCAGTCCGGAGGGTTTATCACTGGTTCCAGCGGTTTGTTTATGTTCCTGTCAGGGAAAAACTTGACCAGCTCAAGACTTCGTTTCTAGAGATTATAAACAACAGGTAATGTACATGTTGAGGGAAACACATTTCGTGTAACGTCGGCAATATATCCATTTGAGGTTTTTTTTCTGTCTGAGCTTTTGTTTGTTTGATATCTTATCTTATCTAATATAACCTACTGTGAAGCAATAATTACTCAACTTTGATTGAAACGATACAAGCATTGAATTCAACGGCTGACTGCTGTTTACTTCAGAGATAGGGCAAAGGTCAAATTAAAACAAAATGGCTGACAGAAATGTACTAATTATGTTTACCGAAAGAAACCATTGTTTTTGCTCAGTTTCTGCCTCTTCTTCTCCAAACACTGACCTCTGACCTGGCCAATGAACTGTTTTGTTGAAGTCTGTCACCATGGTAACTGGTGTTCAGTTACATAATGTTGCGATTTCATAGTAGGAGGGATTTAGACTCCTGTCACCATAAATGTGAATTTGTTTGAGTAAGAATTCACATAGTAGACCATATGCGAAGGTAAACATTATTCATTTGCTTTGCAAATGTTACTTTTCTCATAGTTGGTCTGTTTTTGCCTCCACAGGAGCACAGTCAAGCGGTCCACAACAGCAATAACCCGTGAACTCAAGACGAGATAACAGAACTGAATTCTACATCTGCAAAAATGAACGCGCGCGTGTGTGTGTGTGTGTGTGTGTGTGTGTGTGTGTGTGTGTGTGTGTGTGTGTGTGTGTGTGTTGTGTGTGTCTGTGTGCTTGAGTGTGTGTGTGTGTGTGTGTGTGTGTGTGTGTTTGTGTGTGATTTTCACAGGTGTACATGTAAAACTACTTGTACTAAGTAGGTCACCGAATACAAGACTTTTAGTACAACCGTGTACACAGTGATCATAATAGTTTGCACATTACATCCGATGGTAGTTGTTAACAAATGAGGTGTAAAGTTACACAGATATAGGGCTGTAAGGTGTAGCTTCAATGATCTTCAAAAAACAATCATTTGCACATTAGTTAGTTGAGTTACTAGTACATATTGTAATATCCGTGTATTCAAACGAGCTTGACCTTGACTTTTTTTGTTTATACGATAAAACTAGTCAAGGTGTGAAACTTGGCCAAATTTTATTCCACAAATCCAAACGGTTGCTGAGATTTCGGCAACTTTGCACTTTGGCACCTGTCGTAGGCCTAGGTCCCGTACAAGGCCCTAATGACGGGCCATTTAATGGTCTTCTTATCAGGTCAAATTTACTATTTCAGTCGACTTTTTCTGGCTAGCGGGTACCATTGTTGTATCCTCTCACGTTCTGAGTGATTTGTAGTTAGTGTAAGTCGTTTTTACGGCAGAAAAAGGGGGGGTACGCGTTCTCGGGCCAGTGGAGAACTCCCATAGTAAAGCATAGGGGACGGTCCTAGTGGCCGTTGCCATTGCAACGGAGGTCTGACGTTGAAATAAACTGGTGTATTTTACTAGAACCGACGTCAGTACCAGATATACTAAGCAAATTTCACCGAATTCGACACGGTTGATTAATTCCCGTGGGGTTCAACTACAAAAACGCCCCCTCCCCGGTGAACCAGACTTCAAATTAAGTTTAAGTAAGATGTTTTCGTGCAGTGCTTTACACTTTACATTGTAGCTTGGCTTCGCTGACGAATAAAATAATTACCGACGACCTAATACAGGCCAGTATACCGTAAAAAAATTAAGATTTTTCAAATAAAGGGTTTTATTTATTACTTGTCTTTTGTGAAAGACGACCTAATGCTATCAGATGAATGAGTCTTCCTTATTGTCTTACAGAAGAACTTTACAGAAGAACTTTATTGCACGACAATTGGCAATGTATGGCAAACTACATAAAGAGAGTAACAAACAATAAAATAAATGTTTGATAAGACCTAATGTCGAATAAAACCTAACATATCTTAATTATTCAAAAAGTAAGGGCTAGCACAAGTCTTTGATAAAGTGTTACAATCGAGTGGACTAATCACAAGTTTCAGTATTTTTTCTTATAACAAAGCATTCCTTTATATATCCACCTATTTTTGCGTTGTAGGAACCATTACATGTAAAGATATATCCAAATCTGTCTACAACATCAAGACTCTTGAAATCTGTTGTACTTGATTCGAGAAATGTAAATAGCTTGTTACGTATACGTATTACATCATATTTGGTACATTTACATGTGAAATAAAAAGTCCCGGTTCTAAGTCCTTGAACCCTGCATTTCCCATGCTAATGAATCGGTTTACTGTTTGGATGGGTCATCACAACTATGTGACCCGGTCGGCACGGGTGCCCAGGATAGCCATGTTTATTTACCGTCAAGCTCAGACAACACACTCAAAACCACGCCATACCAGAAGGACGACTAGCGCCCCCTACCAACAAACACGATAAGTGCAGAGTATTCAAACATAACGCCATGGGGAAGTGCCTCGGTAAGCTGTTCAGGGATGGGGCGTCCCGGGAACCGAAGCCTCCACCGGCTAAACCTAAACCCCCAGTCAAGGCGAGAACCATCCGATTAACGCCTGGGACGTCTCGGAGTGAAGTGATCGTCGTGGGACAGTATCTCGCCGTGGATCTTAGCAAGTAAGTAACGAGAGTCAAGGTGAAAGTGGGCGGGGTTGGTCGCCATGTCTTCCGTCTGTTTTGGACATATGTCACCGGAATCGTTCCCATGCCATTTTACGCTGATTAGGTACCAAAAAGAATATATACACAAAATCACCACATTCCACACGCTGTCAAGACGCAACTTCTTTAAACTGCTATTTTTCTTCTTGTTTTGAAAACCTTGTTTGCTGCTTGCATAGCTGAACTGACCCGACACAGGTTCCAAGGATACGCTTGGCTGCCCATTGGCGAAAGAGGCTTAGAACTCACTGTCATAAGTAACTCTACACCTCATTTCAAATAGAGATAAAGCAAGGCGTGTACGTGTGTTGTGTACATAGAGAGAGAGATTGGCATACTTCATGCGTACATGTGCACATCGGATTCACCCAAGCGTTGGTTGTCTGCAGGACAATAGCTCACCTTTATAATTATTCCCAGGACGCCACCTGTGTTGAAAACACCTGCCTTGCAGCAACAATAGGCAGCATTAGGGGCTTCTCGTCTATTCTGTTCAGAGATAGGAAGAACACATATGCTGTGTGCGTCTTTTATGTTTGGTACACAATCTAAGACATAAAGTTTTCAGTTGGAATGTGCTTTAGGTACTGACACAGAATTGTGAAAAGCAACCAAACGGAAAGGAATTGGAGGCGTCTTTTCTTTTTAGGAAGGACTCGGCGACCCACGCTAATTACACATATGACGCGTCGGGTCAGGGTAATTATGGGAACAGGTAGTCTGACAAATTGATAGGTAGTCTGATGGACAATCCTTAGTGTCAGCGGAGTATAGCATAAGATTGTATTATATATCAGGACCCAAATATATTAATGGATGCCTAGCTAAGAAAAACGATATTTTTTTTCAAACAGTGTGTAGTATAACCGGTTTCTTTCGTTAGGGGTGGCGGCCATCACCTAGGTTTCTGTTATTTTTACTGCTACACCCTCAGAGTTTGGCACCCCACTAGCACTATTGTACGTTAGTGTTCTTTTTATTTTGCTTTTCCGAACCCACAGTATGTAAAGGACGGTTGGTGGTGACTGGTAATGTCCATTCAGATCGTTTAATGGTGCAATACTATCTACAAAATGGCAAGGCAATATCAAATCATGGAGGTAGAAAAACACAATGATCAGGCTGTATCCAATACGCCACCCTTTTTATATACCTAATAAATAAAGAAAAAGACAAAAACGCCTGAAATTTAAACACGTTAAAATTTGCCTAAGCGTAGCCGTCTGCTTGGAGAGTACGCTTCTGCTACTCTCCAAGCAGAGGTTTGTCGTTACCTTTCCATATATGCCTGTTTTTGTCGCTACCCCGACAAAAAAAACACAAACCCCTGCTTGGATCCGGAGAGTATGTACACTACAAATCTCCCGGTTTAACTGGCTGAGTGGTTCTTTTGTTGTGTCTAAGTTCTGTGGGTGGACTGGCTACAGCAAGCCTAAACCACAAGGCTCGTCTATTGAGAGTTGATTTAAACGGCGTTTAGAATAATAAACATTCTTTTAAATGTTAATAATGAAATGTCGATACTTTCATATCAAATAAGCCCTTCAGAAATTGAAATATCAGTTTGTTATCGCCTCTCAATAGTGACACCTACCGGAAAGACTGATGCTCTGCAAGATTGTAGTGTTTGAGTGATAGGTATTTCCTGTTTTTCACATTTCGCATACGATTGAAAGATGATGGTAAATTTTTGCTCTCATTCCCATGTTTCAGCATAGCAAACGATGATGCAGTGTCATACGAAATCACGCCATACCCAAAAGATGATGTCATAGTCAGGATGAAGGATGAGCGCCCTCGTGCGACAGGAAACGTCGCTGCAGGCGGGATGGACAACGCTCTTGCCAAGAAGATGGTTGTGTACGTGTACACACGGAGTCACAGCGTCGAAAAGGACGACAAACTGGTATGTTTCTTTATTGAGGTTTATTGAGGAAAAACTCTCCTTTATCTGCCCACCCAAGGGTGGCAGCTATTATTCCAGGAGAGGGTATACATAAGACATAACAATACATCACATACAATTACATATACATTTACATTACATTGGAATTTAAAAGAGAACAAATGTGTAACATCGTATGTGCTTTAAATATTCATGTCCCTCGTGTGCTTTAGTAGGCCTTGTTTGAACTTCTCATGTGATGACACTGTTTGCAGCCCATGTGGTAGAGAGTTCCATGCTGCAGTAGTTCTGTATGTGAAGGCTTTTTTAGTGCTGTTTGTTTTTGGTTTGTCTAGTTTGAAGGTGTTCCGAGTAGCATATCTTTTAGCTATCAAACTTTGAATTCAGTCTGTTACATTCTGTCATCTAACAAAGGGTTTGTTAGATGTTGTCTTTTTATGTTTTTATGATTCAACATGGCATATCTCAATTTGCATCAAAATGATTTCGTTTAATTATCACCACTGATGATCAAGCGAAATTATCAATTAACTATGTATAGATATATCTTAAATCTAAGAAGCAAGGAAGCACTCACGGTACGAAAATTCACCAATTTCACACTTCCCATAATGCCTAGTAAAAGTCACGGATATGACGTAAGACCACCCCCTCCCCCTTCCTCGATGTAATATTTCCAACAAGTTCTATCCACAAACTGGTCAACTATTGTTTTGAATTATTTCTCTAGTATAAAGCTCATGCCATAATTGCATTTTTGTTGGAATTAGAGAAAATGACGTACCTTCTATCGTTCTATATATATACGTAATGCGACCGTGCGAGTAGGAGAGTCTTCAGTAGAAGGTAGAACGATAGAAGGTACGTCATTTTCTCTAATTCCAACAAAAATGTAATCATGGCATGCGCTTTATACTGGAGAAATGATTTAAAACAATAGTTGACCAGTT